TTTCACAACCCTTCGTTTCAACTAATCAGAATGGGTTTGCAAAAATCTCTTTTATTATAAGTATAATAATAAATTATTAAGATATTACAGTTTAGCATTATCTTGTTCTTATTCTTTAATTTCATCTGGGACTAATTAATATAGAAACCATTTTAATTATTTCCATCATAGATATATTCATAGATAAAACTAAAGCATAAATAATATGATGACTAATACAAATCGCATAAGATTGATGATAAGAATTGATATTATTAGAGGAATTTGGTGTACCAACCAGCTAAGCTAAAACCATTATTCTGTGCTAGGACCACTTGTACCCTTTGCACCCATTTATTCTGACCTTAATACACCAAACCTATTCCACAAGGCCAGTCCAGTGTACGTATTACTGCCATCGACCACAGTCCTATATTAAATCCCCTTTTTTGTGATGTTGACAACTCAAATGCTCCCATATGTGAGTGTTTTTCCATTATAGTAAGCAATCTGTTTATAATTTGTTATTTCCTTTTCTAATTGTTACTTCGTATAGTTTAATTTTAATTTGGGTTAGTTAACCAACATAAATGACTAATTTTAGATTATTGTACTTCGCTATTTTATAGTAAAAGTTTTTAGTTCAAGCATCAAACTGGTGTAAATATATTTATTTGTGACCATTAGTTTATGGATAAATAATGCAAGTAATATAATAAATTAATTAATAATATATATATTAATAATATTAGCTTTAGTTTTTATGATTTTTTATGATAATATATTACAACATTTTAGTACACTAGAGTATGTTTTTATGATAATATATTAACGAGTAAATGTTCTATTTCTCGTTTGATTTCACTTTTTTAGGTGAAAATATTTGATTGGTTTATTTTTTGTCAGGCGTCAATCGGGTTTGACTAAGTTTAGTCCTTGTTGTGCTCCTCCTCCACTGTTCTCCGCCGGTCTCGGGTACGCAATTTGTCTATTGTGTTTAGCAAGATTCAATTCACATTGTGTTTGACATGTTCTATGGTTAGTTAGGATGCATAAGAAAGCATCTAGAATTGACAAATGGTTATTATTATTTTACTTAGATTGGCTTGTACGTGATGAATAAATGCTCCTTGTTTGCGTTCATTAAATGCTACTTGTTTGCACTATGTAAATGCTAAAATTATTGTAGTTGTTGTAGTAGTTATTATTATCAAAATTTGTTAAAATAGTGTTAACAAATGTTTAATTAGAGTTATTATTATCTAGATTGGCTTGTACGCGATGGATAAAAGTTGGATGATAACTAATCGACTTAGTATGGAATACGAAGATGGAGTTAGAAAATTTTTAGACTTTGCAAAGAGTAACCTTCCGAATAGTAATAACAGGTGGTTGTGTGCTTGTAAGAAATGTTGTAATCAGAAAAAGTTAGGTGAAGAGGACATATATGATGATCTAATCGTTAATAGGATTAATCCATATTATACACAATGGATTTGGCACGGTGAACGCGATGTGTCTACGACATCTAATGTGTATGTTGACAATGAAGATAATGAGTCTGAAGATCGGTTGGATGAAATGTTTCGCGATGTTGGAGAAGAGTTTACCAATCGGTTAAATGAGTTAGATGAATTATTGAATGATTCAAAACAACCGTTATGGCCGGGGTGTAGTAAATATTCCCGATTATCTACTATATTAAAATTATTCAACTTGAAAGCTGGGAATGGGTGGAGCGACAAGAGCTTTACTGCGTTACTTGAAATAGTAAAGGACATGCTTCCAGATGGTAATGAACTTCCCAATAGTACGTATGATGCCAAAAAGATTTTGTGTCCAATGGGTATGGGATATACAAAGATTCATGCTTGCCCTAACGATTGCATATTGTTTAGGAATGATTACAAAGACTTGCATGCATGTCCAATATGTGGGGCATCTCGTTATAAAACAAGCGAGAATGTTGCTGGTAAAGTACGTTTGAAAAGGCCACCGGCTAAAGTTTTGTGGTATCTCCCAATTCTTCCAAGATTTAAGCGTCTGTTTGCAAATCCAAGTGATACGAAGAACTTAACATGGCATGCAGATCAAAGGATTTCTGATGGCAAGCTTCGACACCCGGCTGATTCTTCTCAATGGATAACATTTGATAATGCATTTCCTGAATTTGGTCACGAGGCGAGAAATCTTAGACATGGACTTTGTACTGATGGTATTAACCCCCACGGGAATCTAAGTAGCATGCATAGCTCGTGGCCAGTTATGTTGATAATTTATAATCTACCCCCTTGGTTGTGTATGAAACGAAAATACATATTATTATGTTTGATGATTTCTGGGCCAAAACAACCAGGTCATGATATAGGTGTTTATTTGGCGCCTTTAATTGATGACTTGAAGCAATTATGGGATGAAGGTGTGTTAGTGTTTGACGCATACCAAAAGGAGACTTTTAAGGTGCATGCAATGCTTTTTTGCACAATCAATGACTTTCCAGCGTACGGAAATCTGTCTGGATATAGTGTCAAAGGTCATAAGGCATGCCCCATATGTGAAGATAATACATGTTATCATCAACTTGTTCATGGTAGAAAGACGGTATATATGGGGCATCAGAGATTTCTTGATAAATTTCACCCTTATCGAAAATTAAAAAAGGCATTCAATGGGGTGCAAGACTATACAGATGCTCCACAACCATTGACTGGGAATCAAGTATATGAATGAGTTGAATGCATCAATGTTACTTTTGGTAAGACTCAGAAGCTTAAATCTCAAAGAGGAAAGAGGTCAAAATCTACAAATGAGAAGAGTCTGTGGAAAAAGAAATCTATATTCTTTGATCTTCCATATTGGAAAACACTAGATGTGAGACATAGTATTGATGTGATGCATGTGGAGAAAAATGTATGTGATAGTCTGGTTGGAACTCTTTTAGACATAAAAGGTAAGTCTAAAGATGGACTCAATGCTAGATTGGATTTGGTTGAAATGTGTATACGACCTACATTAGCACCACGTTCCGAGGGTAAGAAAACATATTTGCCTCCCGCTGCTCATACTTTATCAAGAAAGGAGAAAATAAGTTTTTGTGAGTGTTTACGTGGAGTAAAGGTACCACAGTGGTATTCATCAAATATCAGTAGACTTGTTAATATGCAAGATTTAAAGTTGGTGGGGTTGAAGTCTCATGATTGTCATGTCTTAATGCAACTATTGCCAGTGGCTGTTAGAGACATATTGCCTAAAAAGTTGAGATACACCATCATAAGACTTTGTTTCTTTTTCAATGCAATTTGTGGAAAAGTTATTGATCCAGACAAATTAGATGAATTGCAAAATGAAATTATTGTTACACTGTGTCAGCTAGAGATGCACTTTCCACCTTCATTTTTTGATATCATGGTTCATTTGCTTGTGCATTTGGTTAGAGAGATCAAACATTGCGGTCCAGCTTATTTGAGGTGGATGTACCCATTTGAACGGTACATGAAAGTATTAAAAGGTTATGTTAGGAACCGATATAGGCCGGAAGCATCTATTGTTGAAAGCTATGTTGCTGAGGAGGTCACTGAGTTTTGTACTGAATATTTGGCAGGAGTTGAGTCTATTGGAGTTTCTAAAAATCGGCATGAAGGAAGAATTACTGGAAAGGGTACTCGAGGAGTCAAAGTGAATGTTATGCCTCGTGAAGATGTTGAGCAGGCACACTTGTACATCTTGCATAATACAAGTGAAGTCGAACCGTATTTAGATGAACAAAAGGCGTTGATTAGGGAGCAAAATCCAAGAAGGACAGACATGTGGATTGTGGGCGAACATAATCGAACTTTTATTAGTTGGTTCAAAAATAAAGTTCTTAAAGAGAATAATGTTTCTGAAACTGTTTCATGGTTAGCACATGGTCCTGGTTTGGATGTTTTATGTCATAATGGATATGACATTAATGGGTTTTCTTTTTATACAAAAGCTCAAGATGAAAAGAGCACTATGCAAAACAGTGGAGTTACTTTGGTTGCAAATTCAATGCATTTCAGTAGTTTGAAAGATCCAAATCCCGTGTTTGCAGAGTTGTCATATTATGGTGTGATTGAAGAAATATGGGAAGTTGATTATGTTTCGTTTAGGGTCCCGGTGTTTCGATGTAGATGGGTAGATAATAAACATGGTGTAAAAGTTGATGAGTTAGGATTTACCCTTGTAGATTTTAATCGGGAAGGACACAAAAATGAGCAGTTTATAATGGCATCCCAAGCAAAACAAGTCTTTTATATTAGTGATCCTTGTGACAAAAAATGGTCCATTGTTCTTCATGGAAAGAGACAAATTGTTGTAGATGAGAATGAAGTTGTTAGTTTTGATATTGAGGAAATACCACCATTTTTGTCAAGTGTATTGCCTCCCGTTATTGATAATGAGATAGATGAAGTGCATGCATCACGAGATGATCATCGTGAAGGGATATGGGAGAATTGATTTATTATATATGTAATTCTTTAATTAGGTATTTATTTTGTTTTTATATTTTCTTATTCTAATATTTCTATATATATTCTAATAATTTTTCTTTCTAAATAGGCGTATAGATTCCACAGATGATGGTGGTACTACAGAAGGTACTCATAATACTCAAAGTAGTACTCAAACTACTAAGAAGAGGGGTGCCACTCGTATGCAAAAAATCATTAGGCAACATAATGCTTTTGGGAAACTACAAGTTGTGCTTGATGGATTCGAGCCTGTCTACGGGAGAGCTGGCAATGAATTTAAAAGTTATGTTGGATCAGTGGCAGGAATCAATACTCCTATAACAATAAAAGAATGGTCAGATGTCCCAGAAGATACTAAAGCTACTATTTGGAAAGAAATCCTGGTAAGCTAGATTTTGATTTATTTAAAAAGTTAATATAATTACATTTCTTACTAATAAATAATCTTGTTTTATAGAGTACTTTTGATATTCTCGACACCATTGATATGAAGAGACATTGGTTAAGCTATGTGAGTGATAGGTTGAGAGATTTTAAAACAAAATTGGTGAACAAGTATATATATGGTATTTATGCAGGTCAGAACCCTTGTACTTATAATTACATTTATTACTAATAAATAATCTTGTTTTCTTACTAGTATATATACGGTTGCTATGCAGGTCAGAACCCTTGTCAAACATACGACTTCATTGAACAAGAGACATGGAATGAGTTTTATCAGTCGCATACGGGTGAATCATATGAGGTATCATTATTATTCTATTAATATTTTGAACAAGGGATATGAAATTTATCATATGATTAATATTTGGTATGTATGTAGGCAACAAGGAAAAAATATCAAGACATACAAGCTAAGAATATTCATCCACATCTTTTAGCTCGAGGAGGTTATAAAAGGTTAGAGAAGATGATGATGGACGAGAAGTTAAAAGAACAACAAGCATGTGCTGATGCAAATCCGTCGTATACAATGAGTCCTCCAAGTCCCATACGTAGAGCCGAAAAATGGAAGAAACCAAGAATGGACAAGTCAGGAAATTATCGCACTGATTCAACTAGAGTGGTGGCGGAAAAAATTGTAAGTACATATCTTGTCATTTACTACAGTAATAGTAATTATTATTATTGAATAATTTTTATATATGTTAGGATGCTCTTGAGTTGCAAATTTCTCAAGGAGAATTTGTTGAGGATGGAAGAAAGGATTCATTGACTGTTGCGTTGGGTACCGATGAGCATTGTGGACTTGTTAGAGCCATGGGAAGAGGACATGGCATCAAAAGTGTGTTTGGCCATGCAAAACGTCGCCAAAAGACTCCTGAAGATGTTCAACAACTGGTTGATGCTGCTGTTGGTGCTGCCGTTGCAGAAGCGTTAGAAAAACAAAAGCAGGAAAATCTTTCTGAGCGGGAGGAATTTGGTCAACGTATAACCGAGCAATTTGAGGCAAGAATAGCTAGTATGATGTTGCAATTTAGTGCTATGCAGACTCCTTTACAGCCAAATCAAGTGGCAGCCGTATGTGTGGATGTTGTGCCACCACCTCCCAGTGACAAAGCTAGTTCCCCAGACCCTTTTAGTAATTTACCGGCTGTAAGTATTCGTTTATAGTTATCTTATTATTATTTATCAATACAGCTTTATATGATTTTTAATTAAAAATTATTGTAGTTAGGGGCACGATGTCAATTGTTTTTAGAAGATCCAATTAGACGTCCAGTGGCATATGAGACAGCTTACAGTGGTGGACAAGTTCATGGGGTTGTACTGGATGTAAACAATGTGAAAGTGAGTGTAATTGAAGTTGGTGATCCAACTGCACATGTACCATTCCCCACTGGTGAGGTTAAGCTTGTAAGTGATGCAATTCAACACTTTATCGTTTGGCCAAAGAACCTGGTAGAGTTATGTACTGAAGCTAATGCGGTATGTATACTGATAATATTTCTATTTTAAAATATTAAATAATTTACTTTTTAAAATAATAATTCTTACTTGTATTATAATTCACAGTTAAAAGACAATACCATGGACAATAGTATTATTCTAGATTCTTTGACTGCTGAGTGCAAAAAGGCTTTTACAATAGCTCGCCGTTTCGAACAGAATCTTGGGATCCATGTGGCTCGTGGTATTATGGGCGAGATTGAGTATGACTTGCACCTTGAAAGTGTGGAGATATTGCGGTGTTGGTTAATACTCTGCCGTTCTTTATTCGAATAAAAAAATTTAAGTCTTGAGGGGGGAAGGGGGGGGGGGGGGGGGGGGGGGATTTGATATGTACAAAGACTTCTACCATTTCACCAGTGGGCTCAACCATTCATTTATTGTATACCAAAAGATATGTAACCTTCTAACTGATCACAAATTTAAAAAGTGTGTATGTAACACACATTGTGGTCTTTAGGTGTGTTAGAGACACACTTAACGTGCGTCTCCAAACACTTTAACATGTGTGTATGAATGCTTCACTGTGCGAGTGTAATATTTTAACGAATATGCGTGAGATTACTCTTTAATATGCGAACAGTAATATTTTAACGTTTAACTTACATATAAAACTACTACGTATAACAATCCTTATTCAATTCAAATGACCAAAAGCGTACTCGTGATGACAAACACAATTTAACACAAAGGATAAACAATACATTTTATTTTCTCCTTTCTCATCATCTTCTTGCTCAGCCTTGACTCACTGGCTGACATATCTTGGACATTTTTATTTTTATTTTGTTTGAAACTATAAATTCATAAGTACTATAAAGTAAACATTCATGCAAATTGTATTCTTATTGCACACATTTAAAAGACCAAATCAACGCATCTTATAGATTTTACACCACTCACATTAAAAAGGTATTAGTCCTACTGTGTTGATAATAATAATAATATAACAATAATAATGCGCGTTTGGTCTTTGTTTGTTTATTTAATGATTATCAAGTAAATAAAAAATATATATATATAATTGCCAAAAAAAGATTTATTATTTACAATGAACTAATTTATACGTTGAACTGCTACTACTACTAATATAATAAAAATAATAATAAAGATCATCCCACTAATGATCTAAATCAACACCAACCAACACAACAATTCAAGCAAGCGCACATAAGAGCTTATTTTTTTAATTAAAAACCCCAGGCAAACGAAAGGATATGTCTACACCTTTTGGAGATATTTCTTTTGGTTAAGCCTGCATTAAGGTACCAAAGGATATATCTCCACAAGGAGTAGAGGATCCTGCCATATGTCTAGGCTAAAACAACACATTCTAAACCTGAGAAGATTAAATTCAATGAATGTAAACCCTAACTAATCCAGAAGTGTTAAATTGCCACATCTATTATATGCAACTTACAAAACAACACATTGGGCAATCTAACACATCAGGATTAGTTACGGTTTAGATCCATAGAAGAAGACCTTCTCAGGTTTAGACTACGCCGTCTTAGTTGAGAACCACAAGATCCACCTATGGCTATCAACCAAGCTCTACTCAAAGGATGTCGGCTTTGCTCATAGCTCATTTGCCCCTCGTAGCATAGCAGTAACCACTCGGGTCCTATCTCCTTTGCCCCTCTTAGCATGGCGACTTCCCGCTCAGGATGGAGGTGGGGAAAGAAGGGGGGAAGGACAGAAGTATTGTGGTGTTGTATTTGATGAAGGGGATGTTTATTTTCAGGTTTAGAATGTGTTGTTATTGTAATTAATTACAATGACAACCAGAAGAAGGGGGCGAGAATGAAGATGAAGAACATGAAGAACACGACGAGGAAGAAATGATGTTTGTTGCTGAGATGGAGTGGATAACTCAATTGATGCCATTTCAACATATAATACCAAGAAAACCCTTGATACTCGATCGTTGGGTGTTCCTTCCTTTTTATAGGCGAAATACTTGGTGATTTGAGAAATTTAATGTTGACGTTTCATAAACTTTGAAATGAAATTGGGTTCACACGTTTAATGTGCTTTGGATTGATATATAACGTGCGCGAAATACTAGTACAGTGTGCGTAAATGACAAATGCCTTAGATTTATCAAGACTTAATATAATAGATACGTTATTTTATTACAAAAAAAAACAAAACAAACGAAAAAGAGGTACGTTTTTTTAGTCGTTGGGTGATCACTTTGAATGACAGTTTAATGTGCTTTAGTTCCCTCTGTAATGTGCGCAATAAAACATTACAATGTGCGTGTGTATCTACTATAGGGAGAGATGGTTGACAATTTATAATGAGGGAGAATAGCAAACGCGTTAGATTTTTTCAAGATTTCCTTAATGGGTGCATTTTTTAAAGCAGTGAACGACCACTAAAATACTGTCTGTTTCCCCAACTACACATGCGTAGTTAATAGTTTTGAATGACAGTTCAATGTTGAAAGATTTCCTTTATGGGAAATAGATAAATTACTGACAACGATTAGTCTTGTCACTTACCCACACAACCCCAGCGTATGGGTGTGTGGTGGTGGTGGATTTGTAAGTACAAAACAAGTCTATATCTAACTAACCTTATGTCCACATTTAACGTGCGTGATCAAATACTTTAACATGCGTATATGAATACTTCAATGTGCTTCGATGAATATTTTAATGATAGCTTAATCTTATGTCCAATCCAAATGCCTTAAACAATCAAAACTACATGTTAATAAAACATAAATATAAAAAGCAATTCAAATAATATTAATCTCCTTATTAATTACGGATATTAATTTGATAATTATACGTGTTAGGTGTACGCTTAGTTATTAACAGTACAATGTGCGTCTGCTTATAACTTAATATGCCCAAAGGATGAATTCAATATATATATATATATATATATATATATATATATATATATATATATATATATATATATATATAGATATATAATATTTCAATGTATGTTGTACACATATTTTTACGAACATGCGTTTAATTATTACTTAATATCGGCTTATGCATACAATAGTATGCGTACAGTTAATTCTTAATGTGCGTCATTTTCTAAAATCAATGAGATGTAAAAAAAATATAGGCCTTTTATCTTAAAATTGCATGAGTGTCAAATGCGTTAGATTTTTCAAGATTTACTTTGATGGGTGCGTTTTTTAAAGCACTGAATGACCATCAAAGTTGACAAGTTTCCTTTATGGGAAATAGATAAATTGTTGACAGCGACATAGACTGGTCACTTATTTTTGACATGTCCAATTCGTTGTCATAACTTTATCAAACAATTGTCATAAAACGCTTAAACAACGCACACTGTATTACTTAGAAACGCGCATAAGCAACTAAGTAAAGGCATATTAAGAGATGATTTACAAACAAGAAAGTAAATGCCCTCCCTCCCCCCACACACACCCCCCGGACCATGTTATTCGCCTATAAAAGGGAGGGAACATGCAACAATTGAACATCACATTTTATTACTCGTTCTTGCTTTCTTTGCAATATATGGATAAAAAAAATGGCGTCAGGTGACATTTTCACACCCACGCTAGATCCCTCATCATTTCTTCATCTCCTTCTTATTCTTCAAAATCTTTATCCTGCTCATATTCCCCATCTTCCTTCTTGTTTTCAACATAATTAATTACTAAAGCAACACATTCTAAACCTGAAACAATTGACCTAGACAAAGAAGCCCAGGTGACGGTTTTTTCCCTCTGATGAACTCTTAAACCGTTTCCAAATGCTTTGTCCTCGTCAACTGCAATTGCCAAATATTGTCAAACCAATGGCAAAGAGGCATTTGGCATGCTTTTTGCTTCTTGGTGCATTGGTTGATAATATTTGGCAAAAAGGGCCTGTTCTGAAGGAATAAACCTCGGGATAGGCCGTCCGTCCTTCAACCACGTGTAGCAACATAAGCCTTTA